GCACTGGCGCCCAGCGCCCGGGCCACCTACCCGGCCTCGGGCTGGGTTCTGAGGGCCTCCTGGGGTCCCCGGAGCCTGCGGCCTCTTGCTCTCCGGTCACCACCCTCACCCAGACCATGCACAAGCTCGCTGGGCTCGGCAGGTAGGACGCTCCAAGGAGGCTGAGTATAGGATGAGAGCCCCGGACCGGGGTCCCGAGGAGCTGGACGTGGGATCCGCAGGTCCAGGGCAGGCGTCGGGGCAGAGCAAAGAGACGCCCTTGCCCCCATGGTTTAGAGAGCCCGAAACAAGGGCGCTAAGACCCGGACTGTGCGGCTCACACCCTCCAGGTGGTTTGCTGGGGACCCTCTTTCCCTTCCCTCCTCTCTCCACCTTGCTGCTTCTCTAATCTCCTTCTGCCCCCAACTGCCACCATTTTGCCCCAGGCATGGGATCCTAAGGCTGGAGCGGGAATTTGAAAGTGGCCCTCAGAAGTTCAGGCCTCTTCTTGCTCTGCAACCCATTTCTACCCTGAGGGTTAGTGTGATTAAAGGGCAATCCGGCTCCTAAGGAGAGCCTGGGAGTGTTGTCCCGGCAGTAGAGACCCAAATCTTGGAACTGTCTTCCAGGAAGGGTGGATGGCTCTCCAGGGCTGCTTTACTGCCCTTGACCCCAGTCCCTGGGCTTGTCCCCTCGACCCCCTTGCTCTTGCCCTGGGTTTCTCTCTTGCTGCACCTGAGAGGATCTTTCCTAATGTAATTAACACAGAAGACTCTAGGGCCCCACTAGAATGAGTCACTTTGGTTTAAGAGTGCAGGCTGGTGACTGATCACTTTCCTGGCATGGTGTCAGGAGTCCTTCCTCATGGGGATCTGCCTCCTTGGGCACTGAAGAGGCTGGGGCGTGGGAGCATGGGTTGGCCAGCCCCAGAGTCCTGCATTTACCTTCCCCTTCTCCTGGGTCTCTTCTCGTTTCCAGAGATACCCCAACTCATCCGGTAGGGACCCTGCCTCTCCGGAGTCAGCTAACTCGCCTATCCCTGCCTCGGCGGGCATCAGAATCCTCCTTGTCATCTGAGTCCTCAGAATCTTCTGATGCAGGTAAGTCCCTGGGTCCCTGGAGAGATCCTCCAGTGCTGGGACATCTGAGGGAACTGTCTGGCCCTCTAGACTTCCCTGCCCATCAGATTAAGATCTTTCCCACGACTTGGTGGGCTTGGGGAGCCTTCTCTGCCCTGCCCACAGTGGGAGGAAGACAACCTCTACTGCTGCTAACCACACCCAGCTGAACCCGGGAGGGTGGGGCCCCCAAGTGAGATCTTACTTTTGAACCTGCTGCCTATTAAACTGGTGGCACTGAGAGCTGAGTCGGTTCTTTTAGAACATTCTTAGTTTGTAACTTTTCCTTAAAAAGCCATTTCTTCAAAATTATTTTAAACCAGTTTAAGAAAAAAGCTTAGACTGCCCAGGTGGTGCAGCATACCTGTAATCTCAGCACTCAGGAGACTGAGACAGGAGGATTGCTGAGAGTTGGAGGCCAGCCTGGGCTACATAGTTGAGTTCAAGGCCAGCCTACACTATGCAGCAAGACCCTGTCTCCCTGAAAAAAAAAAAAGAGCTTAGAAAATATTGTGGTATTTGTTGTTTTGTTTTCTTGTTATTTTTACGGCACTGGGAAATGAACCCAGGGCCTTGGTGAGCTACATCCAGCTTTTAAAATTAATTAATGAATTGACAAGGTCTTGCTGAGTTGCCTGGGCTGGGCTCAAACTTGTAATCTTCCTGTTTCTGCCTTCCAGAATGCTGATATTGTACGTATGCACCATCACACCTGGCTGCAATGTAGTTTTCACAAACTAGAATTTTTATAGTAAACAGAGAGTGAAACCCTGTGCCCTTTGGGGGACAATATATTACCCTCAGGGTCTCCGACTATGTTTTTTGTTTCATTTGTTAGTGCATCTAGATCTAAAAAGATAGGGTTTCTCCCCCATTTCTTGGGACATGGTGGGGGACGTGTACAGAAAATGCTTCTACTTTCAAACCAAGGTACTCTGTCCCTGCAGGTCTCTGCATGGATTCCCCCAGTCCTATGGACTCCCAGATGGCAGAGCAGATGTGAGTAGAAAAAGGGGAGTCTTAGGGCCGGGATTTAGCTCAGTGGTGCCGCCACCTGCCTCACAAGCACAAGGTCCTGAGTTTTGATCCCTGGTACAAAAATAAATAAATAAACAAACAAACAAATAAATAAATAAAAGAAAAAGGACAGTCCATACCACCAAGGGTCAGCATCTTAGATCTAGATACCTTTTAGAATCTTAGGTCTAGCACAGACTCACTGGAGAGGCCTAGGAAAATATATGTAATCCCAGTACTCAGGGAGGCTGAGGCAGGAGAATTGCATGTTTAAGCCCAGCCTGATCAACCTAGTAACTTAGCAAGACCATGTCTCAAAATAAAAAATAAAAAGACTGACGGCTGGGTTCAATGCCTGGTATGAGAAAAACAAAACAAAACAAACAAACAACTACAACTAATTCAGAACATCAGCTCACTCTACGCTAAAGAAAGTCAGTTACCTGTGGACTGGTGTGGCCCCTGGCCTATCAGCAACCTCTGGCTTCAGTGACACTTGACTCTGGCTAACTTCTGGACCTGAGGGGACGGAGAGACAGTTGGTGGGCTCTGCTGTGTGCAGACACCTCTCCACCCGGCTGGAAGGCATGGATAGTGCCTTCCAGAGCACAGCTGTTCCATCCAGCTGTTAAGGCCCAAGTATGCACAGCAGCTGCTAGCCATTCGTGAGGACAGCTGGGCACCCCAGCCTGGGCTGAGGGACTGTTCAGTGCAATGACTGTTTCTTCTCATTGTCTTTGATTAAACTGGGCTGGGTGCAGGGTTTGTCACAAACAGGAAACAGAATTGGGTGGAGGTGGGAGGAGATGACAGGTTGGTTTTTGGTGGCTGTTCTTGCTTTACCCTCAAGGCCCAGGTGCAGAGTGGAAACCAAAATAATTGGTCATGCCTGATGCCAGTTTGGCTGGGAGTGGGGAGGGACACCCCTTGACATTTTAGCCCTGAGTGCCCCTCATCTCTGCACCTGCTTTGCCGGTTATCCAGTCTCAGAAGCTGCTGTGTGTGTGTGTGTGTGTGTGTGTGTGTGTGTGTGTGTGTGTATACACAAAAAGCTCCTCATGGCAGGTGGTCTCTGGTGACATAGCTGGGAGTTGGGGGTGGGGCCTATATCCAGAGCTTATGCCCAGCCTCAAAAGAAACATCTGTTGGAATTCCTTGCTGCTGGCCTCTTCTAGGGGGTGGGGGGAGGCTGGGACCTGGAAAATTCCACAGGAGGGAGGAGAGGATGTGACCCTGCACATTTGTCACTGGGGGTGGTCTGTGTCAGACTGGAGCTGACGCAGGGGCCACTAAAGCAGGCTCCTGTCCTGGAGGAAGCCAGTCCAGCTCCTGACAAAGGAAAGGAAGCTCAGGCTTCTGGTATCCGTTCCTGGAGATGCCTACATTGCTGGGTACCCATGGCCGTCATCCCTGGATAGATGGATGCCTTTCCTGGCAGCTATATGGCCCCCGCTGTGCTGGGATGATTTGCATACAGGTGGAAGGCCTGTGTGCAGGCTGGTGAGACTGTTGCCTTGGTGACGCCTCAATGACCGTGCGACCTGGCCCAGCTGTCTTCACTGCCTTCTGTGGGCCCCCTTCTATTCAGGGCTGCCTTTAAACGCCCAGGCAGCCTCTCATTGTGCCCCCCCAATACCTGGGCCCCACTGACAGTGGGGCTTCCTCCTGCCCCTCCCCTTCCCTTCCTAAGCCCCAGTCCTATCCTCACCCCCATCCCTGGGCTTTAAGGGCTGCAGGGGAAGATGGGTCCCATCTGCTCTCTCCTAGGTTTGAACAGGCTATTCAGGCAGCCAGCAGGGCCATGCGAAAGTAAGTGCCCCTTCTGCCCATTAGAGGCTGTCCCCCAGAGGCAAGAAGAGTACAGGGATATCCTGTCTGCTCTTGGTCCCTGCCCCCTCCTTCAGCCCTGACCTGGCCTTGCTTCCTTTTGCAGTGATCACTTTTCCATCAGACGCTTCCAGTCCTTGCCAGTGAGTGTCACCTGTGGCCTGCTGGAGGCTTAGGCATGCTGGCTGGGCAGTGGCAAGAGACATCCCAGGATCCCTCTCAGAGCATGGGCTTGATGAAGCAGGGTGTCCCTTGGCCGGGTTGGGGAGATAGGGTTTCCTAGGTGGCTGGGGGAGCTGGAGGAAGGGTGGGTGAAAGGCAGTGCCTAGCCTGGAGCAGAAGATCACAGCCTCCAGTACTGCCTTGTCCTCCCCAGGTGAGGCTGCTGGGCCACAGCCCTGTGCTCCGGAACATCACCAACTCCCAAGCACTCGACCGCTGGAGCAAGAGCGAGGCGGGTGGCAGAACTGCCAGCGGTCCCGAGGAGGATAAGGAGAATGTGCGCTTACGTGGCCTGCAAGGGGGAGCTCAGGAGAGAAGGGGGCAGGCTGGGGTGGTTCTTTGGCATCCAGTGACACTTCCTCTGGCACCTTGCCCACAGGAGGGGTTTGTTTTCAAGATGCCATGGAAGCCCACAGGTCCTGGCCCTGCTCACGGCCTGGCAGAGTGGGCCAGCCGCAGAGAGGCCTTTACCCAGAGGCCAAGCTCCGCCCCCAACCTGATGGTACAGAGGGATGCTGACCCCATGCAGGGCCTTGGGATGGGGAGGCAGGGGTGGTCTGGAGCCTCCAGGCACTGGAAACCTGTGCCCAGAGGATGGGGTATAGACTGTGCCAGTCTCTTTTTAGCAGTGTCTCACTCCCGAGCAGAAGATGGAAGTAGAGGAGCTGAGCCCCATGGCTCCTTCTCACCGCCTCTCTCTGAGTCCTGCTGAGGGAGCTGCCCAGGAAGATGATGGATTTGTCGACATCCTGGAGAGTGATTTAAAGGTAAACAGGCTTGGCCCCCCCAGTTCCCCTGCCCGCCTCCACCTCCCAGGAAACACCCAAAATTGGAGAGCTCTGAGTCTCTCCAGGAAGATTGTGACCTCACCCCAGGGTCAAGAGGAGAATTTGGGGTAACTGAGTCCTGGCCTGGTCTCTGGTTAACTGGAGAAAAGGAAGTGACTGGTGCCAGGTGGAGGGGAGGTTGGGCAGGGTGAGGGCATCCTCACGGCTAAGTGCAAGCCCCAACTGTGAGTGGATCCCTGCAGCATTGAGGGCCCGAGGGAGAGGGTTGCCCTGGGCTGCGAGCCTGGTGTTTACTGGAAGAACCACGAAGGCTGTCATGGCTCTGCTGGAGGATGCAGGGCCTTGAGAGGTTTGGCCTGTGCCTGTGATTGTGACCCTCTCCTTACTGATTTGGCCTCAGGAGGATGATGCAGTCCCCCCAGGAATGGAGAGCCTCATTAGTGCCCCACTGGTCAAGACCTTGGATAAGGAAGAGGAGCAGGTGCGCCTCTGACATGGGCCCCCAAAACACTTGGGGGTGGGGTAGGGCTCTGCCCTTCAGGTGAGATTTGCGGTTGGGGTACTGAGTACTCTGACCCCTGACCTGCCACCCCTCCCAGGACCTCATCATGTTCAGCAAGTGCCAGCGGCTCTTCCGCTCTCCATCCATGCCCTGTAGTGTGATCCGGCCCATTCTCAAGAGGCTGGAGCGGCCCCAGGATAGGGATACGCCTGTCCAGAGTAAGCGGAGGAGGAGCGTGACCCTCCCAGAGGAGCAGCAGCAGCCTGAGGAACCCGTGAGTGCCTTCATCTGGGGTCTGGCTCTCACCGTCCACCTCGGAGAGAGCTTCCTGGCTGCCTCCCTCCTGGCTGGGTTTGTGGCACATGGCCAAGTGCTGGTAGTGTCCCTGGCAGAGCAGGAAAGGGAGGTCCCGGCCACATAGGACACTGAGGGGCTTCCTTATCCCTGACCCTGGCCTCCATCTGCCTTACCTCCCAGAAAGCCCGGGTTCTCCGCTCAAAGTCCTTGTGTCATGATGAGATAGAGAGTATCCTGGACAGCGACCACCGCGGGCTCATTGGAGATTACTCCAAGGTACCCCACTGACCCAACCTGCCCTGACCTGCTACCACCTGTGACCTCTCCCAAGAGTGGCTGCCACTCCTCCTCTCCACCCAGAGGCCTCCTTTCTTTGTTCCGGGTATCTTTTCAGCCTTTGTTCCCAGGCAGGCTCCTCCCACTGGCTCTCCTTGGTCTCCTGCCTCTACCTCAGCTCTACTCAGACATCCATAGTGCCTCAGCCTGGGAAAACATCTCAACACTAATGTCCAACACGGAATCTCTTCCTGCCTCATCCCAGGCCTGGCAGAGCCTTATGGGGGGGTCGTCTTTTACTTCCTTCTTCATTTACCTCTGGGAAGTTGTTCCCTGGGTATCAGCTTCTTGGGTGCTCTGGGAACCAGAGCTGACTTTTAAGGCCAAAGCAGTGTGGCCTCTGGGCTTGGGAGGGAAGGACTTATTCCTTCCGGGTTCCTGGTCATAGCAACTTTACTTGGACCTCTGACTCTGTCTATCTCCCATCCTTTCTCTTCAGGCCTTCCTCCTACAGACAGTGGATGGCAGACACCAAGACCTCAAATACATCTCTCCAGAAACTGTAAGTGGGGCTGAGCCGGTCTCCAGGTGCGTGAGACACCACCGTTTGGCTGCTGACCTCCCCTGCGGGTGGACTGCATGTACAGACTAGCAGAAGGGCAAAGGCCAGCCCCTGGCTTCCTGCCCAGCCTTCTGCACAACCCCATTCCCTTCTTCAGGTGGTGGCTCTGTTGATGGGCAAGTTCAGCAACATCGTGGAGAAGTTTGTGATTGTGGATTGCAGATACCCCTATGAGTATGAAGGCGGGCACATCAAGGTGAGCTGCACTGGTGGGAAGCGGGTGTACCTGCCTAGCTAGAGGTGGGGCACTGCAAAGCGGAGGAGCCTGCCTCTCAGGTGCAGGGCTGTGGCCTGACTCCTGTTCTCCTGACAGACTGCTGTGAACTTGCCCCTTGAACGAGATGCCGAGACCTTCCTGCTGCAGAGTCCAATCACACCCTGTAGCCTGGATAAGAGGATCATCCTCATTTTCCACTGTGAATTCTCATCAGAGCGTGGGCCCCGCATGTGAGTCCCAGCGCCATCTGCCCAGCCAACTGGTACCTGCCCCTGGTTCCCAGCCCAGGCTTGTGGGCTGGAACCATTGTGTTGGCAGCCTGGCCTCTTGCATCCTCAGATGGCTCGGAGCTGACCTGGCGCCCACTTGCCAAATCCCTGTCGTCCTTCCCAGCAGGTCTCCTGTCTGCCTTACACCCATTACCCAATCCTACAGAACCCGGTTCCAACAGGGTCCTCTCAAAGTCCTTGCCCGGCCTCTTGTGCTCACACTCTAGAGTTCGTGCGGTTAGGTCTCCGCTGCGATCTTCTTCCCTTGATGTCTGCAGTTCCTCAGGCCCTCTGTCTTCTTCACTGAAGTCTCTTCTGTCTCCATTCGTGCTCTACCCTGGCTGGCTGTTCTCTGCCTCCTGGCCCTGGGTTGCCAGAAAGGCTCCTTACACCCATTACCCAATCCTACAGAACCCGGTTCCAACAGGGTCCTCTCAAAGTCCTTGCCTGGCCTCTTGTGCTCACACTCTAGAGTTCGTGCTGTTAGGTCTCCGCTGGGATCTTCTTCCCTTGATGTCTGCAGTTCCTCAGGCCCTCTGTCTTCCTCACTTAAGTCTCTTCTGTCTCCATTCGTGCTCTACCCTGGCTAGCTGTTCTCTGCCTCCTGGCCCTGGGTTGCCAGAAAGGCCCATCCCACTGCCAGTCCTGTCTGAGCAGGTCTCACGGTGGGCTCAAGTCTTTCCTCGGGTGCTCTATACTGAGACTTCATCCCTATTGCCCTGCCCTGCCCTCCCCCACCTGCCTTCCCCTCACTGCCCTGCTCTCCCTTCTTCTCCCTCTCCCCCTCATTCTAGGATTCCGGCATACAGCTTCCCACTCCAGCCAGGTACTGAGGCCCAGTCGCTGGGCCTCTTGGGTCCTTTTTCCCTCCCTTCCTCTCCCCAACTCTGGTCCTTACCCGTCTGGTCCAGGAGCCCCCTGAATATATCTTTCAAGTTATGTCCACTTGTCACTTCTCCCGTTTCCTTTTCTGGTCCAGGCCTCAGATTTCTCTAGTAAAGTTTGCACAACTGCCTTCTAGAAACAGAGGCTGCCCCCTTGATCAACCTCCTTCCTGCCTTCACCCCAGCCTCTCTTACTGAGTAGCCAGAGATCCGCTTGTGGCTGACGTTCCTGTGCTCAGCAGCCTTCTCTCTGTGGCTTCCCAAGGCCTCGCTAGGAGTGATGCCCTCCTGTGCACTAGCTCTCACCCTTTGCCTACTCCCCACCAGGTGTCGATTCATCAGGGAACGTGACCGCGCAGCCAATGACTACCCAATGCTCTACTACCCTGATGTACATCTCACAACTGCCTTCTAGAAACAGAGGCTGCCCCCTTGATCAACCTCCTTCCTGCCTTCACCCCAGCCTCTCTTACTGAGGAGCCAGAGATCCGCTTGTGGCTGACGTTCCTGTGCTCAGCAGCCTTCTTTCTGTGGCTTCCCAAGGCCTCGCTAGGAGTGATGCCCTCCTGTGCACTAGCTCTCACCCTTTGCCTACTCCCCACCAGGTGTCGATTCATCAGGGAACGCGACCGCGCAGCCAATGACTACCCAATGCTCTACTACCCTGAGATGTACATCCTCAAAGGTGGCTACAAGGAGTTCTTCCCACAGCACCCGGTCAGTACCATGTGTGGGGGTGGCCAGTCTGTCTGCCAGTGGCCTGCAGGGGAGGAATGGATCCCCCTGAAAATACCCTTTCCCTCCTATTGATGGACTTCTCCCATGCTGCCCTAGAACTTCTGTGAGCCCCGGGACTACCGGCCCATGAATCACGAGGCCTTCAGGGAAGAGCTGAGGACCTTCCGCCTCAAGACGCGCAACTGGGCTGGGGAGCGGAGCAGGCGGGAGCTCTGCAGCCGGTTACAGGAACAGTGAGGCTCAGTCGCCAATCTTGCCACCTTCCTTGCCTCACAGGGCCTGGGTGCCAGTGTCCCAGGGGCCTGCCAGAGGCCTCAGGTGCTAGCTGGGGGGAGATAGCACAGGTGTTCTGCTGTCTGCCCCGTCCCCAGTTTCCTTTGTCTCCCTCCAGTCACTTCCACACTCTAGTGCCACCCTAGTCTGGTGGTTTGTGCCAGCTCAGAGCAAGCATTTGGTGCTCAGTAGAGCCTTTGGGCTTTTCTTTTTCCTTGTCTGGGTTGCCTCTTTGTCTTTTTATGTCCAGCAAAGTCATGTGTGTGTCTGCGTGTAACTTTGTACATGTGTGTGTGTGTTGAGGCTGGGGGAGCCACAGTCTCTGAGGATTTGCAGACAAGCTCTGTCATGGCCTGGGCACCAGCCAGCTCCCTGCTCCCTGCCCCTAGGCACTGACCAGGCCAGGACTGCTCCTGCCCTCTGCAGGAACCAGTGTCTGTCATGTTGTCCCTTTCTCCTCTCTTTCCTGTCTTTCCTTATAAGCACCTCCAGTGTAAACATAAGCTCTTACTCTTTCCTGTTGCAATGTTACCTGCAAGCTTGATTTGTCTGATTTTACCTGTCTCAGGACGTACACACTTGCCATGGAACTCCCCCATCCAGCTTGGGCTCGAGATTTGAGAACATCAGTTACCCACCTGGCCTTGGCTTTTGTTGCCCCAGAGAGGGATGTTGTGATCCTTGAGAGCATCCAGGGCAAAGGCTAAGGCCTGAATCAGAGGCCCCAGAAGCCCAGAACTCACTGCTGTGAATCCTGGGGCCTCATTGGTCCTAATTTACTGCTGTCCTGTCACGGATAGATTGATGGACAGTCATGGGTACATGGTGCCTTGCACATATGTGCACACACAGATCGGGTGGAAGCACTTTGGTGAACATGACAACCTGTGGCAGGAGTGTGCATGTGTCTATCTGTGTGGACAGAAGTCTTTACACTTCAAATTTGGAAATATTCAAGAGGAAACCGAGCAGTTAAACCAAGTGCCCAGCACCCTCTGCGTTTGGAATCTCAAGATGTGAGAAGGGCTGTACTTGAAGGCCCAATGAGTCAGCTGTTAGGGCCTTGGTTCAATAAAGCACTGATGAGCAAGTTAAGCACCCACCTTTATGTCCTGTGGGCCCCTGACAAGACCACAGCAGACCCAGCGGTGGGAGGAGGGTAGGCTTGGGTCAGCAGAGATGAAAGAATTCAGGAGAGGGAACGCAGTGCTCTCCCTCTCCACCTATTGCCCCTGAAGTCTTCTCTCGCCTTTTTGAGAATATTCCTGCTATGTAGTTCAGGCTGGCCTTTAACTCACTATTATAGCCCCAGCTGGCCTTGAACTTGCAGCCATTCTACCTCAGCCTCCCTAGTGCTAGGATTACAGGTATGCACTACCGCACCCAATTTGGTCTTCCTCCTGCCCGAATTTTGGATTAGAGCAACTCTGAGCTCACTCTAAAACCTGCACGGCAGGAATGATCCCATCACTCCTCAGGAGTGGTCAAGGGCTGGACATGGTGGTGCACGCCTGTAATCCCAGCGTTTGGGAGACTGTGGCAGGATTGCTGTGAGGACTCCTGGCAGGATTTGGGCCTTCCCTAGACTCATCCCTTCAAAACAGCAGGAAGGGGCCAGTCGGAGAGAACCAGGCCCAGATCTAAATCTAGGAAATCCCTTCTGAATCCCTTCACTGTAGAGGACCCCCAAAGTGAGGTATGGGATTGTAGGAACTCCAGCATCTGGACAAGTAAGGCACTGCCTTTGCCTGCTGACACACAAGGGCTGATGTAGCTCGCTGGTGCACGAAGCCCTGGGCCTCATCCCTGGCACCAGATGGGGAAAAACTCCACAGTGCATACGTATGTCAGGTGTGGTTACCACTTTCTGTGAAACTTTGTTGTGAAGTTGGCGGTATGACAATTATCCACCACATTTAGGGGACTCCAGAATCCCAGAGCCAAAAGGATACTTGCCGTGTCTCCAGCACCCAAAGGACACACGGGTAGGGTATGGCTTTGAGGGGATACGGGCTGGGCCTTTGCTTAGCACAACACTTGGGAGGCAGAGGCACAATGAATTTTGGAGCCAGGTATAGTGGTGAGCCTGTAATCCCAGCACTTAGGGAGGCTGAGGCAGGAGGATGAAAGCAGAGCACCCCTGGTACCAAAACAACAAAAAACCATTGGTCTGGGGGTGTACATTAGTGGTAGAACATTTACCTGCTATGCAAGGGGCCCAATCCCCAGAACTGGCAAACAAAACTCCCTAACCTTTCAGTAAGGAGACTTGGCCTACACCTTTGAGAAAGGGATCTCCAGGGAAGGGGACAGAGTGAGCCCTGGGCACCATCATGCTGAGACCAGCCTTCCCTTCCCGGGAGCTCAGGTATCCGGAGGCCGCCCTCAAAGGCAGGTGGTACTAGTACAATGAGGCTGCTCACTTGCCCAGCTTGGCTGCACAGCCAACAAGCAGCAGGCACTGAAGCTGGCCTAGGACTCCCATCCTCCAGCGGGACTGGGATTGGCTTGCTTTGCTGCCATTGTCCTCCCACTGTCTAAGGCTGCATGGGGAGGAGGGAGCGTGAGAGTGGCTACAATGCCCAGGCCTCCAGCCAGATGCTGATATCTAGGGCCACGTTTGTTCCCATTGTAAGCTACCATCAATCATAGCTGCAGTCATGGGACACTTAGTATGCTGCAGACACTTCCTTATTTATCACTGTTTTGGTTTTGAGACAAGGTCTTGCTCTATAGTTTAGGATGACCTTGAACGCTGTAGCCCAGGTCAACCTTGAACTTGCTGCAGTCCTCCTGCATCAGCCTCCTGAGAGCTAGGATTACAGGTGTGTGCCCCCACACCCAGCTCTGCATAGTCTCCTTGGCCCCCCAAGAGGGCATTCAGCTTGTTTTGCTGGAGAAGAGGGCTGAGAAGAGGAAAGGCGCTTGGTGCAGCCAGAAGACAAAAGTCCCCCCCACCCCACACACACAGAAGGCTGGGGCTGGCAGCACTCTCCTGAGAGAAGAGGGGCTATTGGAGCCTCTTGGTGCCTCTCAAGCCAGGACCTTGTGCCCCTGGAATGGTCAGGGTGGGGCAGAGGGGCCCCTCTCATCTCCCCCAGGCAGGGAAGCTGTATCTTTTCCAGGATGCTCTTAAAGGGAAGTCCATCAGTCGGCCAGGAGGTTTAAATCTTGGGCTGTTGGCCAGTTTTGAAGTTTGTTTTGCTGGGTGGGGTGGGGCAGGAATTCCAGCCTTTGAGGAGGCTGGGAGCAGCCATGTGCCACCAGCTCACGTGGTGAAGAGCTGTGTGGAGCTGGACACCAGAGTAGGGAACTGGTCCAGGCCGGCCCAACCCAGGCAGCGGATATGTGGGGGGTGGGATGGGTGGAGAACTTTTATCCATGGCATCAACCAAACTGTTCACCCAGTAACCTTTGCAATAACAATGTTTGAAAATAATGTATTTTAAGCCAGGCGTGATGGCGCATGCCTGTAATCCCAGCACTCAGGAGGCTGAGGCAGGAGAACAGCATGTCTGTATGTTTAGCCCAGCCTGGTCAACTTAGTGACTTAGGGAGATCCTGTCTCAAAATTTAAAAAAATTAATTAAATTTAAAAGGCTGGCGATATAGCTCAATGCAAAGTGGCGGGGGGAGTAAATTTTTTCTTTCTTTTTTAACTATTTTAGTTTTTGAGACAGGGTCTTGCTTTGTAGTTCAAGCTGACCCTGAACTCACTCTGTCACTCAGGCTAGCCTTGAACTCACAGGGATCTTCCTGTCTCTGCCTCCCAAGTGTTGGGATTACTGGCATGCACCATCACACCCAGAAAAAAAATTCTTAAATGGGAGAATACTCACATTTCATCAAAGGCAGACTTCATCAGCATGGAGTGTGGACCTGCAGAACTAGCCCTTGGCTTAAGGGAGGGGATACTTCTAGCACCTCAGGGGGCCCCTTGTGTCCTTTGCTGTCACCCCTATGCTAGAGGAAACCGCTATTCTGACCTCTGTTGCAATAGTGTGGTTTTGAGACGTTCACGAACTTCTCAGAAATGAAATCACACCATCAGTACTCTTCCAGTCCAGCTTTTTCACTCAGTCTGATATTCACGTCTCACTTAGCAAGAATTTGTTCTTTTTCAGACCTGAGTAGCAGTCCACGATACAGATATATTATATATATTATTTGATTGTATTATTCTTTTTTTTTTTTTGGTTTTTTGGGACAGGGTCTCACTATGTAGTTGAGACTGACCTGAAACTCACTATGTAGCCCAGACTGTTCTCCAATTCACAGTGATCCTCCTGCCTCAGCCTCCCACGTGCTGGGATTATAGGTGTGTGCCACCATGCCAGGCTGTTTTTCTTTTTAAATTAAAATTAATTAATTAATGTTTTTGGTGCTGGGGCTTGAAACCAGGGACTCACACATGCCAGGAAAGTGCTCCACCACTGAGCAATATCCCCAGCCCTCTTCTGTTTTTATTTATTTATTTATTTTTTTAATGTTTTTGGTACTAGGGATTGAACCCAGGGGCATTCTATCACTAAGCTACATCTTTGGGCTTTTGTTATTTTTTATTTTGAGACAAGAGTTTCATTAAGTTGCCCACACTGGCCTTGAACTTGTGACCCTCCTGCCTCAGCCTCCCAACAAGCTAGGATGTGCACTGATGTACCTGGGTTTTGTTTTTTGGGCTGCTTTTTTTTTTTTTTTT